TTTCCACACAAATGACATGAATGTGGTTTCTCCTTTGTATGAACTCTCAGGTGCCGCTTCAGGACTGAAGCTCTCAAAAATGTTTTGCCGCACTGATCACATGTGTACAGTTTATCTCTAGTGTGGATGTTCATATGATACTTAAAGTTTGATGATTGTGTGAATCTCTTCCCGCACTGATCACATGTGTGTGGTTTCTCTCCAGTGTGGATCCTCTCATGCCGTTTTAAACTGCTCGCTGTAGTAAAAGTCTTCTCACACTCAAAGCACATGTACTCTCTCACACCAGTATGTGTTTTCTGATGTTCTTTCAAACTCTGTAGTGATGAAAAACTCTTTCCACACAAATAACATGAATGTGGTTTCTCCTTTGTATGAACTCTCAGGTGCTGCTTCAGGTGTGAAGCTCTTACAAATGTTTTCCCGCACTGATCACATGTGTGCAGTTTCTCTCCAGTTTGGATGTTCATGTGATGCTTAAGGCTTGATGAATGTGAGAAACTCTTCCCGCACTGATCACATGCGTACGGTTTCTCTCCAGTATGAACTCTCATGTGAAGTTTAAGATGATGTTTGCATGTCCATCTCTTTCCACACTGAGTGCAGGTGAAAGATTTCTTGGCTCTTCTTTTCTTTAAATCTTTCTGAGTTTGAGAGCAACTCAAAGGTTTTTTTCCAGTTTTGAAGTGATTTTTTCCCTCAGCTTCACTCAATTCTTCATTCTCCTCATTTTCTTCAGTCAACTCTGAAATAAAAGTAAAAATGGTTTATTTTCATTAACTCATAAAAAAAGAAATGTGAAAATACATAAACGTGAACCCTGATGTAACAGCAGAAAGTAGACAATTGCTATACAACATTTTGATCATTTTGATGCAGTTTTATAAATACATCACGTACATTTGATCTATTAAACATGTTTGGTCAACTTTTTTTTTGTTGAAAAAAGTACCCAGTTTACAGAAAGTGTCTCTTATTATTTGATTATTTAGCTATATTACTGCAGAGCTCTACAGAATTGTTCAATTACAACAAAAACACTCTAAATCTACTTGAAACTGTATAACCGTCATCATTATTAATGAAGAAGAATAAACACCAAGCTGTTAGTTCTTCAGTATCTTCAGTGTGTTTGATTCTGCAGGAAAACCTTCAAACTGGCTGTTATTAAGC